CGTGGGACTCTCGTGGGACTCCTATATAAAGGGGAAGTTAATAGATCTGGGGGTATCTAGAATCCCCCATAACTTTAATTAGAAAATCTTCACTTTTAAACCTACTTTATCCTAAAATTCTATAATAACCATATAGTAGAGAATAGTGATTCTAAGATAAAAATAAATAACTTAGGGGTAACGTTTCTTATGGTATAGGAATTAATTATATTTTACTATATATTAATCGAATTTTTGCTATCGTAATAATATATGAGAAATATAGTCTAGTACCTCATGTGAATATATATATATTACTTACCCACTTCTACTAAATACTATGTTTATATCTCTTTTATACCTATGGGCGATAACAGTCTATTATATAACTTTTTTTTTTCAGAGGAAGATACTTTTTAATATAGACTTAAGTCATTTATGCACTTAATTGCAGACCATGTCATATAAAAAAACCACGTTAGTTAACATTGAAGGTAGGGACGCTTATACACCTATAAATAACAGTATTTTATTTGATTACTTTGCAGATTTATGCAGCCGAAAGAGGAAATTTTTGGCAAAATTATACTAGCGTGGGACCATATGGGAGTCCCATAAGTCCCACGGGAGTCCCATGGGACTGACAGGGTTATGGGACCGGAATTTTTTTAGTCCCATGGGAGTTGGTAAGGCCTAGATTAAACCACTCCTTAATGATTCTAGGGTCTTTATATTTCGCGCGCTTATAGGTATACCGTTTTAATAATCGAGAGGAGACGAGAGGACGCCGTTTTATAAAGTTATATACCCATTTTTCGCCGACCGAAAGAATCGAGGTAGTTCCACGCTTTTAAAGAAGATCCGCTATTTCTCGTACCATAGAGGGCCGGGGGGCTGCTCTACGAGAATTCATAGAGAGAATCCATTTTTAAAGAGACTCCTCTTTAATTTATGTTAATTTAGACGAATTTACGCGAGAATTCGCGCGGTTTTATGTACCACTGAGGCGGCGGCGAAGGGTAGTTTCGGGTACGTTAAAACGGCGCGCCACTTCACGAACTGAAGAGATTTCTTTATTCTTAAAAGCCTGGATAGCTAATAAGACCCTACCCTCTTACTCTGCTGAATTACTAGAGGATCGGGAGCGAATTGGTGGCATGGTGGGTGGTTGAATTGACTAAGTGCTAATTCATGGACGCGTTTTGGGTTAGGTGCGCCACTCGCTTGCGTGCGCCGCTCGCTTGCCGAATACGTTATCGGCTATTTTACGGTGTTATAACGATTATATAATCGACTAGCTAAAATAAATATGCGGACTCGGATTAACTATATCGATAAACTTAACTTCCTCGAAATATACCCCCTCGCACGAATCGAGGCTTTTAAATTAGAGACGATTAAGAATAGCTTTAAAGCAGCTGGTTTAGTACCTTTTATACCTGATTAAGTGATCTCGAAGCCAGATATTTAACTTCGAACCCCTACCCCCCCTCCGAGTAGGGGGAGCGATTAGGACCCTAAAACGCCCTCGAACTACGTACGTATAATTATAAAAGTAAGCTTCGTTAATTAAAGCTTTAATTTATATTAGATTGAGGAGCCCTCTAAGCCCGCTAAATTACGCGATAAATCAGGTTTTAAAAGCCTATTAAATCACTATATAGTCTGCTACTTTTCTCGAGAAAGAAGTTAGTGATTTACGCGCCGCTAACGAGAAGCAGAAGTAAAAGCGGGCTAGATCTCGAAGGCATATACCCTCCGAAGAAGGACTCTTAGTCGAAGAAGCCTCTGCATTAATTATGTAGTAATAGGAAGTAGGTGAAGCACCTCCCCCGGATCCCAGTGTACCTAGAGAATCGGCTATTCAGCCACGTACGCGCCCCCCCCCCCGGGGGGGTGTGGAATATGCAGATTACCAGGGCATAGAAGAGAAACATGTCCAGATAGACCAGTTAATTAGTTGAATTAATTTAATGGCGTTTTGGTTAAGATAAGTGGAATTAAATTCATAGGGTTAGGTTTGCTGATCCACTCGGTGGTGTGATCCACTCGGTGGTGAAATACGTTAGATTATATCTGCTAGATAGGGTGTTCGGATAATATGAACATTACTCGATAAGGCCTATTAAAGCGAGTTAATAAGGGTCTTATTATCTAATGCATTATCCGTTATTAATTTAAACACACGATCCTACATATTATGATTAGTAAGTATCTCTAAGAGAACACCACTTAGATTAGCACTAGTGTGAGCACCTTCGAGGGGTTTAAACCTAAGAAGCACCTCCTAGTAGGACTAGTTAATGTTAATAAAATAGCTAGTGATAGCTATGAATGCTTATCCGAATGGTAAAGTCTAGTAATCTAACGTAATTAAGATTTTTATATCTACCGGAAGCAGTTTAAGTGTAGAATCTTAGTAATCCTTAACACGAGTAGATAGTCGACGTCGAATTATATTAGTAGAGGGGATAGATAGGGGGCTTAGGGCCGAGTGTGCTTCTGATATTATCCGCCGAAACGTTAGATACTCGATAAGGTGAAAGGGATGTCGATTAATCGTGAGAAATTATAATAGATTATCCTCCTAAGCTACCTTAGAGAAAACCTCTCGGGTAGTATTATCCTATTTTAATTAGTGGTACGAATCGTGCTAGAGGGATATCTATACTATTAACTAAATAAACTTATCGAGTCCCCCTCGTTACTAACCTCCACTTATAGCCCTTTTATAGGCAGAAGTCCTAAGATGCCTAGTTATAGTAGTTATACTATAACGGGTATCTTTCCCGTTCGCATCTTTTTTAGCTATATAAGGATGCTTAAGGATCGTAGAGTAGTGCTTATATAACCTTTAGGCTACTATCGCTACTATAGGCTACCTAGGTAAAGTGGTCCTAGATATATAAAAGATGATTTAAGTGCTATGCGACCTTACCCTTTAATCTATAATTAGTTTATAACTACCACTTTACCCATTATTAGTGATTCATTCTATCGTATAAGAAATATAACATTTTCCGATCGGGTCTAACGCGTTTAAATCGTTTAAGCTATAGGAGTAAGGGAGGGTCGTCCGGTCGAAGAAAAGCCGGGATAGATATATTAAAAGTTTATTAGCTTATCGAGGGCGTAGCTAGGTAATTAGAGGATATAAGGTAGGGTAAGTTCTCGTAGTTACCTCCGAATTATGATGATATAAACTCGGACTACTAACTTTAGGACATCGTAGAGTTAAAAAACCTGACATAGTTAGGGATAGTGGTAACTCCGCGCCGTTAACATCTTTATTGTCAAGAAATGTTGTCGTGGAAAAGTAAGTGGTCAAATGCTCTAATATGATAGACTGGGGACATGTAGCCGTTCACTGGCCAAATAAGTGTAACTTTTAGGCACTTTAACAGATATGCGGCTTCGTTTGGTCTTGGCACTCATTAGAAGTGCCTTGCATTCCGGTCTCTTCCACTTAAACCAACTGTCTGATGGTATCATGTAGGCTTCTCTCGTTCGGCTTTGATTAAGTGGGCTCTTCCTTCGAATGCTTAAAGAGGACATGACGTTTGAATTATTGCGAAGGACCGTCTTTAGATTCTGGCGAGACCGAAACCCCGCATACAGCAGCGGACGTACGCCGGCAAGCTTACTCCCCTAAGAAAATGATATAAGAGGACCCCTCACGCGCCGAAAAAGCATTTAAGTAGATCGTAAAAAGCTGCCATTTGGCTATACGCGGCGCTACTATTATGCGCCAGGAAAACCGCGAATTACGTGCCGCCAATGCGAAAATAATCCAGAAAAGGAAGCGTACGAGGAATCGAATAGCTTATAAAGGCGGAATATCGGTTTTAGAGGCTATGTCAATGGTTTTAGGATCGGAAATAGCTCATGAAGCTAGCTCAGGTCGTCGAAATAGAGCTTCATCGCCGACGCCGAATCGGACCAATAAGAGGAGACCACGGCAATGCAGCGTTTGTAAAAATGTAAGTCAGAGGAGAAACAAGTGCCCGGAGAAGTCTGAATGGCTTCAATTTTACTTAATTCAGGTTATGGTTAAAAATTCAATAATAATGGTAGATATAACATTAACGTATTTCCCGGGCGAGCTGCGCACCTCACCCAGCTTATTAAATTCAACTATATTTATCTCAACCAAAACACTACCAAATTACCAACTAAACTGATTTATCTAGCTAAACACCTATTTATTTTATGCTATATTTCTCCACAGCCACTACACTTTGGTAGGGCCCGTGGGGCCCGTGTACGTGGTTATAATGCCGGCGAAGGGCTTCTTCGCTGGGGGGCGGGGGGGCGGTAAGTGCTTCCACTAGTTTAGTAATTAATTGAGAAGCTTCTTAGACTGAGAGGCCTTCTTCGGCGGGTATCTGCCTTCAGGATCGAGTGCGCTTTTGCTTCTGCTTCTCGTTAGCGGCGCGTAGCTCCTTATTTTCTTTCGCGAGTAAGAGAGCGCTATGCATCATAAGGCGGAAGCCTTTTATAAGTTAGTTTAATGCACGATCTGATGGGCTTAGTTAGACTTCCGCAAAACCCAACTGGACCCGGACCCAACCCGGACCCAACCCGGGCTGGGTTGGGTTTTGGGTCGAGATCTCCGACCCAGTACTGGGTTCTGGGTCGAACCCTTTAACCCAGTACTGGGTTGGGGCCCCAAATTGGGTCGTAAACATTACAAACATACCAAGATCTCGGATTGCATTAGTTATGCGTTTTCCAGCTGTAATTTTGAGTATTTGACCTACGTTTAGCGCGGTGAATTCAGGGTCTAGTAGATCAAATTCGACTGCATGACCATCAGATTAGATTTGTGTCTATTCTCATTGCTAATGGTATTCGAAGATATCATCCTCCCTGCTTTTCCGTTTCCGTCCTGAGGCCCGAATCTGCGTCTGGTTCGGTGGTAATGATGGATCAGGCCAAGCATCATGTTCACCGGCACTTATAGGCGCCTCATCTAGTTCTATAAGATCCTGGTTCTTATCCTGATTATATATCTCAGCTTCCTACTCCTCTGTATCACTTATCAGATTATCCTCCATCAGGTCAATCTTCCCCTCCTTCTCTTCTTTCGCTGCCTCGATCTCATCCCACGTAAAATACTCCTTAAGAAGCTTCGCCTCGTGCTCCTCTATATTAAATCTTGACGTACAAAGGAACATCATCAAATCTTTAATAGTCTTTGACTTCATTCTACCACGGCGATAGTGGCAGATATCCCGAGCGGTATTGAATAGACGTTTAACCCCTGCGCCAGTTACTGGGAACGAAAGGGCATCTCGCGTAAGTGCAGCGATAGCTGGGAAGCGAGATTAGTGTTCTTTCCAGAAAGTGAGGGGATTTATAGAAATAGTATCTATTTAATTAGTATTAGGTTACTAAAGGGAATCAATCATTAGGTTCACTTACCACTATTAAGGTATTAACTCATTTCATCAGACACTGGAAGCCGTGCTGGATCTTTGCCAGGTCTAGGCCCAGTAAGCATTGAATCAAGCATCGACGATGGTCTAGCTATAGCGATAGACCTTCCTAAAGCCTGGATATCACTTATAAGCAGCGCTTGATATGGTGTAAGGGCTTCGCGGAATGAAGCTCGATAAACATCTCGCTAATGCTGATCCCAGTCGGCGGTATAGAAGAATTAAAACTTATTTACCGGCGTAAGCATAGTGCTAATAGCATAGATATGCCCTCGGATACTATTAGTTTAAGAGTAATACTCATTAAGCTTCATCCGCCCAGCTTTAAGTGCATTAAGCATCTGTTTCTTCCATATAACCCGCTTTCGTCGGAGCTGCTTCATTGATTGTTTAAGATGAGCAAACAGTTTATTATAAATCATAAACACATAGTGGGCTGTGATGTCTCGAGTCTTTAAAAGCTGTGTTATATAATCAAAGAACGGCTCGGTGATACAGAGCAGATAGTCGATCTGGCGCCATTCTTATTCACTAGGAAGCATCTCCTCATAATCATACTCCGTACAGAATAGAGTAAAGATTCTGCGTAGTCGCTTTACCCGACGAAGCATTAAGTATGTCGAGTTCCACCGGGTCCTTACATCTTGGATTAGAATAATCTTAACATCGGTTATCTGAAGTCCACAGAATGTCTCTCGACGCTGAGGACTCGCGTTAATATAAACTGCAAGATAGCGGATCTTATTTAATGTGGAAGAGATCTGATATGAATTAGACCGTTGCTTCGCATTTTCCCGGGCGAGGTTTAACTGCTTCTCCGTCCACTTTGTCTCAGTCGAGTCATTCGTGGGACCTGCCTTGATCCGAGAAAGAAGCTGGTTCAGACTAAGCTGAATAACGTGGGTAAGGCATGGGATTCGGGTAATGAAAGCTTCATCTGGTAACGCTTGCTGGAGAGTAGTAGCTAACGTCTTGTTATTCGATGCATTATCCGTCGTTAATCTAAATACCCTATCGGTGATTTCGTGCTCCACGAGGGTTTCTAAAAGAACACTACTAAGTTTATCACCGGTATGTGAACCGGAAACCGGTTTAAACCCAAGAAGCACCTCGCGATAAACCTAATCGGCGTTAATAAAATAGCCAGTGATAGCCATAAATGCCTGCGAGAAGGGAGACGTCCAGCAGTCAAGCGCAATAGATATCTTAGAGCGAGGGGGTAGCGTGCGAAGGATACGCTGTTATCGATCTTTGACTATGCTTCCGAGTCGGCGACGTATAGTATCGGCGGAGGGGAATTATAGAATGGCTGGGGCAGAGCGAGCTTTGTGGAATAGACGTTTAAATGATGTATGTTCGACGAGATTGAATGGCAGGCGGTTTAGGGTAATGAATTGGAGGATATCTTCTTCCCATTCTTATACTGAGAATGGTATATTGGCTGCATTTTCTGCCTAGGAGGTCGAATCGTTATAAATCAGTAAGGATATAGGTTTATAGGGCTAGGGGTTATACTTTACATCATTCTGTAGAAACTTTGTAATCCCCGAATTTATCTTATTATCCGATCGTATACATCCAGCTGTCTTAAGATGCTTCGTGATCGTTGATGTGCCATGGTACTGCACTTTACTACCTATACTACCTGGGCTGGTAGAATAAGGATGCTCTAGGATCTTACCATAACGTTTGCACATAACCTTTGGTGCCCCATTGGCGATTTAAGCGACCTGGTGGTAGCTATCCCAGACCTCTGTATGGCGTTTCGAGTCCTAATTAATCTTGCTTTTCATGCCATATTCAGTCCCTAGCCACTAGTCTACCTATTCCGAATAAACCATCTTGTCGTAAAGAAGAAATGTCTTCCTACGGTCGGGACTAACGCGCGTAAGGGAAGAAGGAACCGGCGTAGGAGTCAGACCACCCGGTCGGAGGAAACTAGATTCCCAGGGTTCTTGGGTCTGTATACTTACGGAGGGAGTAGGCACTTGTGAATTAAGTTCCCCATAAAAGGACGATGCGAAGTCTGAAAACTGGCTTTGAGACATGATAAAAGGTCAGCATTAAGATGAATGATTAAGTAAGGGAGGAATTAGAGATCATAAACATACTATAAAGGTTATTAGTAACTTTAGGAGTTAATAGATCAGACGGACTATATCCGGCTAGATTACTATACTATCCGATTGGTCTATTAAGCTTATAATATATGGGTCTGACCCAGTAACCCAGCAATAACCCAGCGAAAACCCGGATAACCCAGTTAAAACCCAGTCAAAACCTAATTCCCACCCCAGTTTTATATAGATCCCTTAAAAGATTTCATCTCATAGGGTCTCTAAAGGTCTAAGAACCGCTAATTCAAGATACAGCAGGGTTTGAATATCTATTCTATAATATAAATGTAAATAAGAGAGCCTACTTTCTCACTTAGTCAACAAATAGTATCAAAAAATGAAGAAATGGTTACCTTTTCTTTTTACTCCTAATATCTATTAGAAAACGTATACTAGGTTTATACATGTTGAATATATATTTCTATAACATCAGCAGGGTGTATCTTCCCAAACGCCCCATACACTCTATTCTATGTGAAATATGGCATCTTAAGGGGTTTTTGATAGTGAAATAGACAGATTCCTACTATTTACATAGAGATTTCTTATGATTTTAAGTGGCTTCTTGGTAAGAAGAGTTGAATTCTTAGGTATGAACCAAAACATGGGGAAAAAACGGTATTCTATTTGGACAACCAAGCAGGTTTATACCAGAATTTATGCCAAAGTTGGGTCCAACTGGGTTATTGTTGGGTTTATTGGGGCCCCAGTACTGGGTCCGGGTTGGGTCCGGGTTACGAGGTTTCGACCCAACCCAGTACTGGGTTGGGTTCTGGGTCGAAGGTTTCGACCCAGTACTGGGTTCTGCGGAAGTCTAGGCTTAGTGGACTTCAAGATCTTATACGAAGTAAAGCTTTGATTAATGAAGCCTGCTGTAAAGGTTTACGATTACTAGGTGTAAGGCCTATCAACCGGGTAAGATACAATGACTTAGAGAGGAAACGAGGATATATTGTCTGTGTGTGCCAAGACTAACTCTTACCAAAAGAAGAGGGGATTCAGGGGAATCCTGGACTATGTGTGTCCCTATGTTCACGTGGGAGCCATGTGACTATTCCTTGGCAGTTCGTTCCTGATACGTGATCGATGCGGGTGCGATCAGGTGATTCCGTCTCTATGTTATAAGGATATTTATCCGTTACACCTGCCGACGTAGTTCTTTCTCTGTAGCTGGCGTTTTAGGGTGAAATTCCGGCTTAAATCGCTCCCCCGGCTCGGGGGGTTAGGGTTCGAAGACGAATATTTAGCTTCGAGATCACTTAATCAGGTATAAAAGGTACTAAACCAGTTACTTTAAAGCTATACTTAATCGTCTCCGATTTAAAAGCTTCGATTCGTGTGAGGGGGTATATTTCGAGGAAGTTAAGTTTATCGATATAGTTAATCCGAGTCCGCATTTTTATTTTAGCTAGCCGATTATATAATCGTTTTAACACCGTAAAATAGCCGATATCGAGAGGCTATAAAAGGTAAGAGGAGTAAGGTAGTATACAGATCGGTATAACCTTACTTTACTCGTAAATCTCATCGAATTTAGGGGTTAAATGGCTTCTATGTCCGTTAAGTATTAAAAGTTAATACCCCCCCCCCCTTCGTACGCGAAGAGTCATCGGAATAAAGAGCTTTTAGAGCTAGCGAACTCTAATTTCATTAGAGGTCTAACCGTTTAGACTAACTTTAAATCGGTAGTTATCCGGAAGGCTATCGAACTAAGATCTTTATCTTTAAAAATCACATACAGAGGGAGGGCCTACCCTAAAGCATTCGTACATTTAATAGTAGTCACCTATTCACGATTTCTAGGTTATAAAACCAGGCGCTAACCGTAGAAATCGCTCCTCATAACTACCTTAGCTATAGCGATTAATCCTATCGCGAAACTAGTCTTATCGAAGTTATAAACGTTATCGGGATCGATTCCGAATTAAAGGATTATTTTTTAAATAAGATCGAACCACTCTCGAATAGTTTTTAGGTTTTCGCATTTCACACGTTCGTAATTATACCGTTTCGAGAATCGGGAGGAGAGTAGAGGACGTCGTTTAATATATCTTATAACCTAATTTTCGCCGACCGAAAGAACCGGGGTAGTTCCGCGCTTTTCGAGAAGATTCGCTATTTCTCGTATTATAGAAGGCTAGGGGGCTAATCCACGAAAATCCATAGAGAGAATCCATTTTTAAAGAGATTCCCCTTTAATATCTGTTAATTTCTAGTAATTTACGCGGGTTTCGGAGCGATTTATGAGACGGTTCCGTAAAGAGGAGAATCGCACTTTAAAACGACGCGATACTTCGCGTATAGAGGTAATTTACTGGTTTTTAATGGCCTAGATAGCTAATAAAAGCCTACCCTCTTACTCTGCTGAATTACTAGAGGATCGGGAGCGAATTGGTGGCATAGTGGGTGGTTAAAGTGGTTAAGTGGTAATTCATGGACGTGTTTTCGTGTCGCTGATCCACTCGGTGGTGAAATACGTTAATTAAGTCTGAACTAACTTCTTAATCGCTTAAAAGCAGTCCCTTAGAATGATATAACTAAGACTAATAGTCTAATCGTTAATTAATTCTCGCGAAAGTAAATGCCTAAAGTAAAGACTGGAGTATATCTCATACTTTAAATACGGTACGGTATCTTACTATTTATATCCGGGCTAGTCCTTAACGTCGCGAAGCATTTATTAGTCTTTAGCCCTTAGAGTAGGCACTTATGCCACTTTAGGATGTGAAGACTAGGTAGAACTTGACGTTTCTTATGCTTCGCCGGGTAAAGAGGCTCCGTAAATTCCTTAGTACATTCTATATAGACTATAACTACGAGGAGATAGCACTTATAAGGATGAATAGCGCTAGATCGATTACCTTCTTTATCTTATTGTGAAGGGCTGAAGCTTTATTGATTCAATTAGGCTAGGCCAACATGCTGTTTACATCAATCTTGGAGAAAAGGTAACTAACTATCTACTGGCGATGGGGGTTTATGTATGTTATGGGCACGTGCCTCACGTGATCCAAGCCGGGCTCTGGCCCGTTACACTTATAAAGCTATTCTATGAATACACTCTTACGCTTTTAAAGACCCGAGATATAACTATATATCTAGTATTCTAGATCTATAATATATTATTTAAGCACCTTAAGAAGTCTATTACGTAGCTTTAACGAAAGCGTGTCCTATATAGACTTCGGCAGAACCCATTTTGGGTCGGAACCTCTGACCTAAAACCTAATGGGTTAGGTTTTGGGTTCCGCCCTCTATAACCCAACCTAACCCAAAACCCAATGGGTTAAACCTAATAACCCAATAATAACCCATTTAAACCCATTTTTGCATAAAAGATAGGTCTTAGCGTTCATAATAATGCTAAGTCATTTAAATAAATTACTGTTTTTTATAGCTGTTCTGGTTTATTCATTAAATATTGCTACATTATCATAATATTAAGTTAGAAAATTTATGTAATTACCCTGAATTTAAAGCTAATAGGCTTTATATTATATTAATTACTGATAAAAATTCACATTAATCATAGTATAGTGGTGTTCTATTAATTTAAGCATTTATTAACTGTGGACTATTAAAAATATATATTTATGGTAGAGGGGAGTATGTATATATTATAGGATAACTATGAATATAAATAGAAATATCTTATCCTTATTTGATTTTATATATAATTAATATTATATTAAAGCTATATTTCTCTTCTCTTATATTTTCTGACCGCGGTCGGAAAATCACTTCTAGGAGGTAGGTGTATATATTATTATCTCTGACCGCGGTTAGAAAAGCTCTTCTAGGAGGGTAAATGAAACATTTTTAAGGGATCTTCTGGGGGAGTGGGTTATGAATAGGTCCTCTTAGGTTTTAATAGGTTATGAATGGGTTCTCTTAGGTTTTAATGGGTCCTATTAGGTCCTGTTAGGTTCTCTTAGGTTAGACCCATTTAAATAGAGCTTATATAGCTAATTAAATAACATTATAGCTTATACCTTTTAATCTATCTACTTTACTATAGGACTAAGGTGTTTACCGTTCATATACCCTTCTCTTATAAGTATATACTCTCTCTGCCTTTCCCCCTTATCTCTATAGTATTCCCCCTTTCGGTCGCAATGTCCTAAAGCCAGCATTCTGACTTTTTACCTACTCTTTATGATGCGGATATAGATAACCTTAGCTATCTTATACCCTCTTCTCGAGGTCTAACCCTATCTAGTAGCCAGCTTATAATTAAGCCTTTTAATGCTATTAATACTAACTTCCTTCGGCCCTCTAACCTTTTACTAATTCTACACTCTCTTACTCGCGTTAGCCCCGATCGGAGAAAGGCATATGTGCTTTATGATAATATGGCATATAAAGAATGGGTTAAGTGGTGGCTATAAACCGACTATAGGCAGAAAAGTAAGATTTCCTAGGATTTAAATCGTAATTTAAATATATAGAGTAACTTCGACTAAGTTATACATCTTATCTTTAAGATTTATAATGCCCTCTTTAATCACTTTTTTAAAGCAGAGGCGCTACTTAAACGTAAGCGTGTTCTATAGAAATCAGATATACTTAAAGCACCTATAGCTAGTCGCTTAAAACTTAATGAGTACTACTCTTAAACCGATAATCTTAAAGGACATATCTATATAGTTAGGATAATGCTAGCACCTAATAGCAGATTTTAGTTCTCTCTATCTAATAATTAGGAGCCTCACTAGCGTGATGCCTACCGGAAATCGTTCTTAGAATTATTAATTCCGTATTAAGAGCGTCTTATAATAAATCAAGGATCGACTAATACTCTAATAATAGTATTATCTAGTTCTAGGCTAAATAAGATACTAAAGAGTAATAAGATATCTATAAAGCTAGCTAGTGATAAGATAACTTAATACCTCGATAGTGGTATGTTCATAATCTATTTCTTCCCTATATAGGATAATACTAATATATTTATACTACTAACGTATTTCACCACCGAGTGGATCAGCGACACGAAAACACGTCCATGAATTACCACTTAACCACTTCAACCACCCACTATGCCACTAATTCGCTCCCGATCCTCTAGTAATTCAGCAGAGCAAGAGGGTAGGCTTTTATTAGCTATCCAGGCTATTAAAAACCAGTAAATTACCTCTATACGCGAAGCATCGCGTCGTTTTGAAGTGCCATTCTCCTCTTTACAGAACCGCCTTAATGGTCTCATAAATCGCTCCGAAACCCGCGTAAATTGCCGGAAATTAATAGATATTAAAGAGGATTCTCTTTAAAAATGGATTCTCTCTATGGATTCTCGTGGATCAGCCCCCCGGCCTTCTATAATACGAGAAATGGCGAATCTTCTCCTCGAAAAGCGCGGAACTACCCCGGTTCTTTCGGTCGGCGAAAATTAGGTTATAAAATATATTAAACGACGTCCTCTACTCTCCTCCCGATTCTCGAAACGGTATAATTACGAACGTGCGAAATGCGAAGACCCGAAAACTATTCGAGAGTGGTTCGATCTTATTTAAAAAATAATCCTTTAATTCGGAATCGACCCCGATAACGTTTATAACTTCGATGAGACTAGTTTCGCGATGGGATTAATCGCTATAGCTAAGGTAGTTACGAGGAGCGATTTCTACGGTCGGCGCCCGGTTTTATAACCTAGAAATCGTGAATGGGTGACTACTATTAAATGTACGAATGCTTTGGGGTGGGCCCTCCCTCCGTGTGTGATTTTTAAAGGTAAAGTCTTCCTCGAATCTTAGTTCGATAGCCTTCCGGATAACTGGCGATTTAAAGTTAGTCTAAACGGTTAGACCTCTGATGAAATTAGAGTTCGCTGGCTCGAAAAGCTCTTTATTCCGACGACTTCTTCACGTACGAAGGGGGGGTATCGACTTTTAATACTCGACGGACATAGAAGCCATTTAACCCCGAAATTCGATGAGATCTATGAGTAAAATAAGGTGGTACCGATCTATATGCCACCTCACTCCTCTCACCTTTTACAGCCTCTCGATATCGGCTGTTTTGCGGTGTTAAAACGATCGTATGGTCGGCTAGCTGAAATGAAAATGCGGACTCGGATTAACCATATCGATAAACTTAACTTCCTCGAAATATACCCCCTCGCACGAATCGAAGCTTTTAAATCGGAGACGATTAAGAATAGCTTTAAAGCAGCTGGTTTAGTACCTTTTGCACCTGATTAAGTGATCTCGAAGCTAGATATTTAACTTCGAACTCCTACCCCCCCTCCGAGTAGGGGGGAGCGATTAGGACCCTAAAACGCCCTCGAACTACGTGTAATTATAAAAGTAAGCTTCGTTAATTAAAGCTTTACTTCGTACTAGATCGAGGAGCCCTCCGAGCCCGCTAAATTGTGCGATAAATCAGGTTTTAAAAGCCTGTTAAATCACTATGCAGTCTGCTGCTTTTCTCGAGAAAGAAGTCAGCGATTTACGCGCTGCTAACGAGAAGCAGAAGTAAAAGCGGGCTAGATCTCGAAGGCATATACCCTCCGAAGAAGGACTCTTAGTCGAAGAAGCCTCTGCATTAATTATGCAGTAACAGGAAGTAGGTGAAGCACCTCCCCCGGATCCCAGTGTACCTAGAGAATCGGCTATTCAGCCACGTACGCGGCCCCCCGGGGGTATGGAATATGCAGATTGCCAGGGCATAGAAGAGAAACATGTCCAGATAGACCAGTTAATTAGTTGAATTAATTTAATGGCGTTTTGGTTGAGATAAATGGAATTAAATTCATAGGGTTGGGTTTGCTGATCCACTCGGTGGTGTGATCCACTCGGTGGTGAAATACGTTAGATCTAATTAATATTAAACCTCTTTAATTCTGGCGGGAGAACTAATCTCGTTTCCCTACGATCGCGTTACTTACTCGCGATATTCTCTCTATTCTAGTAATTAGTACTAGTGTCGAACGGCTCTTTAATACTACTTAGGATATTTATCACTATCGCCGTGGTCGTCTAAAGTCCGAAATAATCGAGGAGCTTATGTTATTTCTATATATAATAAGATTTAATATTAAGGATACTAAGGTAAAGCAGCTTAAGCAGTTCTTTACACTAGCTGAGATTAAGTCGGCGAAGGAGCAGAACGATGAATATTCAGAGGATACTAAGCTTAACCTAATTAGTGATAATGAAGAGGAAGAAGGAGTAGATAATAGACTACGAGAGATATCTCCTTATTTAATAGATATAGATATAGAGGTGACAGAGCCAGAGTTACCAGAGACTATAACTCAGAGACGGGCCTTAGGGAGGAAGCGTAAGAGCAGGGCAGATAAGGATTTCGAGTAATATTAGAGAAATATATCCTGATTTAATTATTTAATTTATTCTTAATTTATTCTAGAAGAGCGCTATAAGTAAAATACTTAATATTATAAGCAAAAAATGCATTAATTATACAGTTACACGCTAGAAGTCTGTTTATCTGGTTTACACTATATTAGGGCCCTAATGGGTTACCTAATGGGTTTTGGGTTATGAGCTATAACCTAAAACCCATCATTAGGTCGAAGCAATGGACCCAAAACCCATTTTGGGTTAGGTTAGGTTGGGTTAGGTCCGGGTTAGAGTGGGTTGTGCCGAAGTCTAGTCCTATAGAAATAATAGATGCTTTCCTCCCTTAAGGCTAGCCGATTAAAGCTTAATAAGTACTATTCGCAGATAGATTATGATCGTGATTATATCTATGCGATTAGTACTATGCTAGCGCTAGATAATAGGTTTTAATTCTTTCTCTCTAATGATTAGATAAAGGAATAGCGTGATAAATATTAAGCCTCATTCTAAGATACTATCTTACCTTACTAAGAGCGTTATATTACTAGTTAAGGCCTACTAGTCTCCTCTCCTAGATTAAGGCTAAGCACGGCTCTTTATAATCTACGTCGCCTAAAGAAACCTAAAGCGAAGCCAGTTAGTGATGAGATAACCCAGTATCTTAATGGTGGTAAGTTATGCTCTTCTTCTAGTCTTATTTCGATGAATATCTGTCACTAATTATATATAGGTATCCTTAATTCTACGCTGCTACCATTTTAGCGAGAGAACTATCGCCGTTTTCCTGCGATTACTTCGCTTACGCGGGATATTCTTATAATTCCAGTAACTAGTATAGGTGTGGAACGATTATTTAACACTACTCGCGATATTTACCATTATCGCCGCGGTCGTATGAAGGCTGAGACTATTAAATAGTTAATGCTGTAACGGGCCAGTGCCCGGTTGATATCACGTGCGCGCACGTGACCTCCCGCCCATCCCCCTTTATTTATGTTCGACCCCGTCAGCTCCTACTTCTCTCCTTAAGCTTTTAGATAACTGCAAACGGCTTAGTTGGTTTGAATCAAGACTGGCTACGTCCCTTCACAATTATAATATATAAGTATTCTTTAGATTCTATAATTTCTATGATAGATTTATTAAAGGATACTCCTATATATCTTTACCCTTTATATTAATACTTAAGAGGTTAAAGAATAGGAAAAAGCTAGGGAAAGTATAACTTAGCGCTACTAAATTATTAGCGTTTTAATAGCTAAAAGCTTCTTTTAAATTAGTGTCTCTACTACACTATTTTAACACTAAGAAATATACTAAGCTAGAGATAGACGCCTTAAACAAAAGAATAGGTAGAGTGTTATCCTAGCTAGATAGTAAGGGACGATAGTACCTAGTCATATTTTAGTCTTAGAAATTCTCTAGGATAGAACTACTTGGACTTCGACAGTTGTCAATATATGCCATTTGTACCATACGTTGTTCGTACCACAGATCTCTGTCAAAACCCATTCATTCTTGCTCATTCTGGAATTGCAAATCCCACACCAACGTTGCGAACTCGATGAGGTCCTGTGTCCCAACCACAATGTCACGTTCCCTGTGATTCTCCGCTGGTCGTCGGAATAGAAGGTGAAAGGGTATGAGGAGCTGCGGTGTGGGCTGGTTGGGATTAAAATAGACTTTGCCATCGGAACTCGATGTTGTGATGGTAAGGTCTGTTTTTCTAATAGGTCTGGAGACCGCTTCATCCCACTCCCATTGCTGGATAGTGATCTGGGGAATTTTGGCATGGACCTTGACTGTGAAAGCCATGTTAGCCTGGCCTCTTGCTGGATCTACCCAGTAGTGGGCATCACGGCGAAGTTTGGCAGGAGTCTCTGACGATGCGACTTCTAGAACCACCGAGGGCCTTTTAGGAGCTCCGTGGGGAGGTCTTCGTGGACCCCATCCCCCGTCTGCTTCCTTTCTTGTGCCATCTTCAGCAGTCAATGTCGTCGATCTCCATGAGAAAATCGCCTTTTGTAGGCCTCTTTCCTGGAGGGCTAATATGAGCGTATCGTGAAACACCGTTGCGGCTTGCTCGTGCGCTGGTACAGGCATCTTCACGATAAGGAGGTGATCTTTTGGATTGAAGGATATCCTATCGTGAAAAGGAAGATCGGCTGATGAATCAAGGAAGTCGTGTGCAAAAGTCATAGGGTCAATGATGAAGATAATGTGATCGTTCTGGGTGCCTTCCGTCTGTGGCTGTCTAATTGAATCGTCCTGGCCTCTTTTGTAATTCGCCTGTACAGCAGGGAAAGAGCTATAGAGACGACTACGCTCAAGTGAGATGATCTGCCAAAAGTCGTCCATACTGCTGTAATGATATACATTGACCGAAGAAGGTAGTTCTTCGATATCCAGAGGGTCATGTTGGCTGGCGCTGTTATGAGGCTGGGCCATCTTGGCAAAGAACGCAGGGGATCAATCACCACAGAAGAAAGCTAGGCAAGAGTGAGCCAACACAGTGCAAAGTGTCAAATGTAAGCTTAAAGAGAGTGTGGTGTAGAGGACTATAAGACTATTTCTGGATATCCACGGAAGTGGCTCAGCAAATAACCTCATTATGACTGTTACGGCAGTCTAATATGGCCCCAAGCCTAAAACCTGGTTTCTCCTATATAACTGTCGCACTGCCATATTCACCGCATTCCGTACTGCCTATTTACTAAATAAGGAAGAACCTTTTTAGTGTTAATAATATATTACCCTTAGTAGACTGCGAATTGCCTGTCCATAGGCTCCTAGGAGGTGCCTATCGCCCGTCCACAACGCCTATCGCCCACGGATATACCTCCACCGGTCAAACGAGCGCAGCTAAGATGCAGCGGACAGGCCACTCAATTACCTGGTGCCTTAGTAGATATCTTTTGAAATATAATGGCGTTTTGGTGGAAAATATTATAGTCTAAAAATAGAGTATTTGGTAGGATTCACCGCTCGCATGTGAATTACATTAGCAAGTGATGATTGATTCTGTTGTTGAACTCCGTCAAATGTCAAATATGGCGCCTCTAGGCCCCATATGATTACCTTAGTTTTCATGTGGTCTAGTGGTAAAATATGCTTTTTTTTTTCCCACAAACTCCACAACACATGGCCCAAGACGACCAGGGGATAAGCATAACTAGAGAAATGTCCGACGACTAGAAACCCTTTCATCGCTATCAAGTCTTGCTTTCTCAACCAGTCATGCGACTTTAGTAAAAGCTCTGATAGATCACGCCCTCTCCTAGTTATATACATCTATCAGCCTGTTGAACGCGACCATGCCCCACCTGCTCTCCCTACCGTCTGAGATCTACCGTCTTATAACTGAGCACCTGGACTATGCATCAGAACTGAATACGCTGGGGAAAACATGCCGAACCCTGTATGGGCCGGCCAATCTACTCCTCTACTCTCATTTTGTCAGAGATCTCTCTCCTAAAAGCTTCTGCCGTATCGTCAAAAACCAAAATGCGGACGCGCTGCGGAAAGTGCTTCCCAGTTTCATGGAGCTCGAGTGGCATGAACGGTTCTTCGATAAGGAGGATCTATCATGGGAGGCGGATGCAGCTAGCAGCTATGTGGAGATTATCCAAATATTTGTGAATCTCTACGGGCCAGGGCAAACTCTCCGTGACATTGCCAGCGATCCCAAATCTGAGTTTTTTTCCCCAACTGCCGAGGACCGAGTCATGTTCAAGCTCCTAGCTGATGCTGCAAAATCCAGAATTGGCGAAATAGCCTTGAATGTCGCAGCAGCAAAAGGATGTATAGACTGCGTCAGATTTCTACTTTATTCTGGTTGCAAAGTGGATGCTGTTGAAAACTGCAATCGGACCGCTTTGTGGAACGCTGCACATTACGGCCAGTTGGAGGCGGTAGAACACCTTCTCGAGGCAGGTGCAAACCCGAATGCTCGTGGGTTCCTGCAAGAGGGCTTCCCCAAAACTCCTATTTACTATGCTGCAATGAACAACGACGAAGCTATGGTGCGGTGTTTGCTTCAGAAGAATGCCCATCTAGGAACCCCCGGGGAAATCAATGCTTATGCAGTGGGTGAACTAGCCGATGAGGGTAGAGAAGCACTCGCTACGCTGATGTTGGAGCCCCTCGATTTAGATACGAAATTGCCCCAGCTCTCTCCAGATCAAATGACCTGCTTTCTCCACTATGCAGTTGTGGTTGGAGATGATGCCACTATTGAAAAATTTGGTTGTCCTCCTGCTGCGAGGGAGCTTTCCTCGGTATTGAGGATTGCAGCAAAGTGCGGCCGTGCACATAGTGTGAAGACTTTGCTTGAACGGTGTGCCAATGTCTTTCCGGAACGGGAAGTCATACAGGATGATTGCCACACAACGATTCAAGTGGCGGCCCAAAACAATCAACAGTCTGTAGTCACTGTGGTGCTTGAGCATGCCGAAAACCATGCGATAGATACTGCAGCAAGGGTCGGGCTTCTAGCGGCCGCAGGAGCAGGACACAAAGAATTATGTCAGATCTTCGTGGGGAAAAGTGCTCTTAAAAAGTCACAGTCGAGTCAAGTGGACCAGTCCCAAATTTTAGGATCCGCTATATGGTCGGGCGATTGTACCCTTGTTGAGCAGATACTGGATGAAGGCAACCTTGGTCCCTGGACTATCTTGTTCTCGAGTGAGACTGTCTTTGAGCTTATCTGCTCCAGCAGCTTCGATCTGTTCAAGATGATTCTTAAGCGAGGTGTGGTCCTTGATCCAAGTGATTTGGTTTGTCGGAAAGCTCTGTCGCGCGCTACGATCTCTAGACGGACTGATATTAGCTCGCATTTCCTACAAAATGGATTTGATGCCAACGATCTCTTTCCACTTCCGAATGGAAGTGACAGACTGCTTTTTATTACCGTGTCAAGTCTTTACGGAGTGTACGGAGAAGATCAAACATCGTCGGTCATTAAGTTTCTCCTCGATCACGGTGCCAAGGTGGATGCAGTGGGGATCGAAAACCGGACTGCTCTAGCCACTGTTGCTTGGACCAGGAGGGATTGCATCAACATTGCCCGGGAACTTCTTGATCTAGGTGCTGATCCCCTACTGGGCTTCAAGGAGAACACGAGTGCTTTACAAGGTGCCATTGAGACCCAGAAACTTGAAATGGTTGAGCTGTTTTTAGAAGTTATAGCGGCTCGGGGTCACCAGTGTGACGGTTTGACTACCTTCATCGCGCGTCATATCGCGAGGTTCGAGATGCCCGAGAAGAGCCGGTTGAGGCGCACGGAGTGGTGGAACTCCTTCTTCCTTCTTAGGGTATTGAGATCGTATTATTGGCGAACAGCGGTTCCAATGTCGATATCATAAATTCTTTGGTTAGACTTAGGTGTTAATAAAGAGCATCTCTTAAATTCACGTGAATAAACGAGTCCATATGTAGTATACCATATGCTTATGCTTTACTGTGTCGTCTGTTATCGGATATACACTTTCTGCCATTGAGAGCTGACCGAGCCTCCTGGAATAGTTAGCCTGTTGAACAACTCTTGTCCAATTCGGCCTCGTTCACCATTTCAAAGTTTGAACAATGACCATAATTATGCGCAAGCACACGAGGTAAAGTTTTCGGTCCATAGGGTAAAAGCCCCAAAGAGTAAAAATCCATAGGGGATTTCTGACCCAGGGCATGGCTCCGTTGTCGGGTTGCCCTGAGGATTGGTGGCCCGGGAGTTACCCGTGCCTCGGGGAATTCCTACCCTGGGGTCTGAAATCCCCTAAGGATATTTACCCTTGAATCTCAAAAGCCTCGAGGGCAAGTCGGCGGAACAGGAAATATCAGGATAGCCAACACAGCATGTTAACTTTAGTGCCGTATGTCCTTATCTTCCGCCGGTTTGATATCTATTGTATATTATGTATCATAGTACGGAGATTCATCTGGTTGGAATACTTGGTGGAAGTATGGCATGGTTCCTCGGACTCACTTCTTAATTCTTGGCTATTTTCACTTGGTAACTGAAGACTTTCTCTGCCACAATGTCCAACCAAAGATTGTCAGAGCCGTAAGCAGCATACCAGCAAGGAAACACACCCAGATCAGATTTGATACCAAAAGTCCTTGGTGGCCGTTGTCATTTGTTTGAAATGCGAAAAAATTGGACCTAAAGAAGGTGCAGACCAAGAAAGCTGGAAGATAAAGCATTGTTAGAATTGCAATAGTCTTCATTGATTCGCTGTCCTTCTTTGTGTCTCTCGCAGTGTAGGTATTTTTCCTAGCAATTTCAAGCGAAGTAAGACCATCGCGTGCTGCAGTAAGATTATAGAGCTATATTTAATTCTTAGCGGGGAGAATGTTTAAAATTATGTTTATATTACTTACCAATTTAATAAGATTTTGAGACCTTTGCCTGCGATTACTTAACTTCCGGCAATTTTATTCGCAAGAATACCTTAGGTATAAAAACGCATCCCTCACACGAGTCTCTGTGTTTGACTCGAAAGTGCGCTCTCTATCGAGAAGAACTAAGTCTTCAGAAAGGCGGCCTAGATCCACGATCATTTTATTGATTAATGAGATATCACGATCATAGGAATGTTGTAAGGTTATCAGGGTACGTAAATCCCATGTAGACCCTGGATGTGCTTTTTAAATCCCTTAACGGTTGCCATGCTAATCAGAGATCCGTCAAGAAGTTGCGCTTTAATAGTAAACAGCCTTTATAAGCACGTTTTCAGCGGAAGGTCTCTCCCACCGGCCACATAATAAAGAATAACGAGATGAATCCAGAGGGGATGCAGTAACAAGTCTCGTTCCTTCGATAGATTTTCGATGGACCTAATGGCCTTGATAGTTACGCAGTCTCTTTCTGGCACTGAGCCTGATGGCAGGCGTCATTCTGAGACCAAGTAAATTAATCGCTTTCTTCCCAGCTCATACCTGTAGTACACAAGGTTCGGTCTGCGTTTAAACGATTGCAGCTGCACTTTAGAACCAATATCTTGTTTCCGGTGTTAGAGTATTGTCCGATTAGAATTGCCAGCACTATATCGGATATCTTGGACTGATTAGTGATTAAATCTGAAAGATGTCTTTAAGGGACTTACCTAATATACGCTCATATTCCGAACCATGAAATGCAGAATGATACGAGTGGAGCCGAGGTGCTCTGAGATCTAGGTCTAGACTGAAGATAAAATCACCATCGCCCATAAACTTCCTGGCTTCGTTCAACGTATCGGAGGATTAAACACTTATTGTCAAGGGTCATTCATCCATAAATATGTAGAGGATCTTACAGGATTAGAGATTATAGTGCATCTGTCTCAGTATCCAGCTCTTTTTTAATCACTTTTTTGAAATAGGCGAAGTCTCCGACTATGATAATGGTAAGTCAGCATATACATCAAATCAACTTAGAGGTTAACATATAATCTTGCTCCCTTAATAATTTCACTTCGGTCTTTTCTTTGCCACCGGTTATTAAATGACACAGTGTCAGGAACCCAATATTCTGGGCGTCAACTAGTCAAAGAATGAGCTAGGCATCATGTGTGGTATCGTATGAAATTATTAGCTGACCTTTCTTTGAGGCTTCGGAGGCCATTATATGTGGCATATTACCAGAACCATGTATCAAAAGCTCCTTAGAAAACTTAATTGGGGAACGACATCCAAGGATGACTTACGGCCCTTGGAGTCCAGTTATATAGTGGAAAATAGTCTTCCAAGAAACGTAAGATTACCTCAATCATGATTAGTAGGAGAATCAGCACCTGGAAGGGAGCGCCAACTGAAGCGCGCGCGATCTAAACACACTTGATTGGCTATTGGATAATCAGAGTATGCATGTTACATTATTAAAACCCCAGATAGTGGGGTTTATACCAATCAAATATCAGGCAGTTAAAAACGCCTGGAGTGGCTGTTGTGACAAAAGTGAAACTTGGGAAGATTATGTGACGATCTAGGTATTCTGTCGTTCCTGACCGCTTCTTTCCTGTTTACTCGGGCGTCCTAAGCGAGTGGGTTATTACTTGTAGACTTCGGCAGAACCCATTTTGGGTCGGAGTCTCCGACCCAAAACCCAACCCATTGGGTTTTGGGTTCCGCCTTCCATAACCCAACCCAACCCAAAACCCAATGGGTTAAACCCAATAACCCAATAATAACCCATTTGAACCCATTTTGGCATAAAATATGGGTCTTGGCGTTCATAACAATGCTAAGTCATCGAACAAAATTACTGTTTTTTACAACTGTTCCGGTTTGTCTGTCGAACATTGCTACATTATCACAGTAATAAGTTAGAAATTTTATATAATTACTTTGAATTTAAAGCCAATTTACTTCATATTATATTAATTACTAATAAAAATTGAGATTAATCATGGTATAGTGGTGTTCTATTAATTTATGCATTTATTGAATGTAGACTGTTAGAAATATATATTGGTGGCAGAGGTGAGTCTATACATATTTGAACATAAACATGAATAGAAATAGAAATCTCTTAATCTTAATTTATTTTCTATATAATTAATATCATTTTAAAGCTAAATATCTCTTTTCTTATATTCTTAATTAATATATCTAGTAATTAATGTACTATGTAAATTAAGGTGGTTTATAAATGATCTCTATACTCTCATGTGTACTCCAGATGAAATATTTCTGAGTGATCTTCGGGGGGAATGGGTTGTGAATGGGTGCTCTCGGGTTTTAATGGGTTATTAATGAGTTATTAATGGGTTATATTGGGTTTTGATGGGTTTTAATGGGTTATGATGGGTTTTAATGGGTTATGATGGGTTATAATGGGTTATGATGGGTTATGAATGGGTTCTATTAGGTTCTGTTGGGTCGGACCCATTTAAATATAGCTTATGTAGCCAATTAATTGATCTTATATCTTATATCTTTTGATATATCTACTTTACTTAGCCTATTTATGTGTCTATTGTCTGAAACCCCCTTTTTATAAGTATATACTCCCTCTGATTATCCCCCTTACATCCCCTGCAGTATTCATCTTTATAATAATCATGTCCTAAAGCCAGCATTCTGACTTCCTACCTACCCTTTTCGATGGGGATACAGATAACCTTAGCTATCTTATTCCCTCTTCTCGGGCTCTAACCCCACCTGGTAGCTAACTCACAATCGAGCCTTTTGATGCTATTAATACCGACTTCCTTCGGCCCTCTAACCTTCTACCGATCCCACCTTCTCTTACCCGCGTTAGCCCCGATCGGAGAAAGGCATATGTGCTTTATGACGATATGGCATATAAAGAATGGGTTAACTGGTGGCTATAAACCGACTATAGGCAGAAAAGCAAGCTTTCCTGGGACTTAAATCGCAATTTAAATATATGGAGTAACTTCGACCAAGTTGCCCATACTAAAGATGGTGCGCTAAAGGTGATGTGTAAGCGCTGCTTAAAAATCCTGGAGCATCCTCATTCTCTATCGCCTAGTGGTAAGGGCTATCATGGCACATTAACAATGTTAAAGCATTTAAAGACAGTAGGCTGTCGTAAAGCTCAGCAGGGAGGGAAAGGAGAAATTACCAGGTTCCTTTAAAAGGTAGTAAACCCTTATATTTTATTTAGTTATTAGGTTTTAGTAACACTCTTAGATACATAGGATAACGGCTAATCGGAAGCTCCTTTTTCACAGTCAGTTTAGGAAGAGCATCTTCTTTAATTTCTTACCCTTAATCGACTTCCATTCCACCTTATTGAACATCTAACATTTCATAAGCTATTCCGATTAGCCCGCTCTGCACCATCCACCCCCCTAATACCCTCCGCTACTATAATACGCCGTCGCCTCCGTGATATCATTACAGAACGACAGAAGTCTATCCTCTAAACGCTACCTAACGACGCAAAAATCTTAATTATATTGGATTGCTGGACTTCTCCATATAACTAGGCGTTTATGGCTATCACTGGCTATTTTGTTAATAGTAATTAGGTATACTAAGAGGTTCTACTTGGATTTAAACCACTTCATGGCTCTTATACTGGTTTGAATCTAAGTGGTATAGTCCTTGAAACTCTAGTTAAGCATCATATCTAGGATCGGGTATTTGGAGTCATAACTGATAACGCTACTAATAACAAGACAATGGTTAATGCTATACAGTAGGCGCTCTCTAGCGATGTGACAGTAATCCGAATACCCTGTCTTGCTTATGTGATCCAGCTATGTTTAAACCAGCTCCTTGATCGTCTGAAGGCTATTCCTCTAAATGAGAATACAGAAACGAAGTGGACTGACCAGAAGTCATCCGCAGTAAAGGTAAATGCTCGGCATCAGACACAGAGGATCTTATATACCTTAAATAAGGTCCGCTATCTTAC